TGGGTTTACTGGCTGCAGACTGCGCAGCCAGAAACGATACAAATATTACGCATTTAGTATCTAGTTCAAGTTCTACCTTTAAAAGACTTTGAAGCACCTTTACGAAGATAACCTTTTGGTTATACAAAACAGTTGAGACCAATGGAGCTATTAGTTGCTCCTTATGATCATTTACAGGGCTTCTCTTAAGACCTATAAAAGAGACGGGTGTTACGAGCATCCAATATGCCAAGTTATCATGGATTACTAGAGGTGATTGCCTGGGTTTTCGTTGGATTCAGACTATTCTTCAAACATTTTGGAGAGGAAAAAGGCTGATTTTCTCAAATTGACCAAGGAATTTCTAATGGGTCCAGATTGATAATCAAATTTTCATAGAACTATGTTATTGGCCATATAATATTTGCTGGGAATTAATCTTCAAGCCCACCTAGCCTTTCGAAAGCCAAGGAAGGGAATAACAGATTTCAGCAGTAAGGCGTAGAGCTCGATGATTTGTGGGGACTGTTATGTGGATCTTCATTTTTGCTGCTCTAGGTTTGTGAATATGTTGCTGTTTGGTGGGTTTCTTATTTTCTGACTGAGATACGTACAAGAAATGGAGGTTATTTTCCAACCGTGATACACAACTCTTGACTCAAGAGCTCAGTAATGCAATAGCTTGTGGAGAATTTTGATGTAAGCAAGCCTTAAGGGAAGGAAATTTTATGAGGATCTGATTTGCTTTGCGGACATTTTCGACAATATATGGAAACATAAAACCACTGCTCAGATGAAGTTCCCGTCATACATTTATTGAATTCCTTGTAGAGTTTTTGACTTTCTCGTCATGAGTTAAGAGCTTAATTTAAATCCCACTGGCATCAATATAATTTTGTTCACATTCCCTAGAGTACCTCAATGAAGACCTGGGAGCGAATTCCCATTCTATGTTGATATCATATTACGGGACTTGTCGAACGTATCGTGACTTACGAAATCTGGTTCTCTTTGTGGTTGAGATAGATCCTCAGTTGTGGCTGAGAAAGTGACTGCTCGGACAAGGACAATGTCGCACAGCTTGACATGGAGTATGTAGTCAAATATAATATGAAGATAATTTGCTCGTGCTTGGCGCTGGAGCCTGGAGGGTGTTGATAAGTGCTGTAAGAACTTTGTAGATAAGTCATAAGTGCTTTTGACTATTGTCCTGATCGGATTCATATTTTGTTTTAACGATGTTGATGTTTGCAAATGCAGCGATGTGATGGTGATGGCTGTTCTATGATGTTTACGTTCCGATTTTAATTAGCTTTTCTAAAAAATATTAGTTAGTATTGTTTGTTAAGTGAGCTTTTGGGGTGTAGACATTGATAATAAAAATTCCATTGCTGTATTCTTTTCATATTGCATCTCTGGTTCCTTTAGCTCAATTATATTGATGGTGATCCAGCTCAATTCTGAATTAAAAAGGTAATTTATGCCTCCTACATTAAAGAAACAATCGCTATTATAATGAACAAAATTATTCAAGAAACCTGAAAGATAAACAAGCACTATCAAATGATCCATCAAAATCTCTTGACAAAACAATCCTGTAACCATACAAGAAGAAAAGATACCAAAACTGCTAGAGCTATAGTACCAAGACAAGACAACACAACACGAGCTCATACCAACCCTAAAAAACTTTGAACCCCAGTTCGACTTTGATAACATTTTTTCTTATTCTGATACCTCCATCCCGTTTGTATGATGTTCCCTGCCATTGTTATTCTCTTCCTCGTGCTGCATTTGATCCTCCACAAATTGAACCAAGACATCATCATCATCATCCTCCTCCTCATCCTCCATTTGCTCCCCCTGAGCATCGACATTCTCCGAACCACCCTCCGAATTCATGAAATTTACACATTCGCGATTATTCCCCTTGTCATCCACATCCATTGCCACACGATTGGCCACCACACGTAATCCGGGCCCCACACCTTGTCCCGAAATCCCACCTCTCATTTTCTCATTCCCTTTCAACCCAGCCGCCACTGGAAGGCCCGAGTTATCCGCCATATCTGCATTCCCACTGCTGACAACAATTCTGCCATCCACAGTCACTGTCTGGCCCAAATCCCCACCTGCATTCCAGATCCTATAACCGGAACTAACATTAACATTATTAATTTCCCTGCCCATTCTCATACAAGATGGCCCAACCGGGCCAGCCCCTTCCTTCCTTTGCTTCTCCTTCATCACCAGATGGGCCACGTACTCCAGAGCCTCTTTAGCCCTTTTCCGCGTGTAAGCTGCCTCCTTGGCCCGCCTCTCGGCCTCAACCTTGGCCGCAATTGCCGCTTTATTCATAGACATGGAGGCTATTTTGGCGGCGGCCAGAAGTTTCTTGGCAGCGTCTCTATCCATCACCCTGCAATCTTCGGTGGCCTCGCCGGCATTGGCCTCTTTTGCGGATTTGAGTTTGAAAATGCGGGTGTTTGGGTGGAGGCAGAGGGGGCAAACGTAGGGAGTGGGGCCACCGGGGCGGACGCAGTGAGAGTGAGAGGAGGAGTAGCACTTGAAGCAGGTGGCGATGGCGTCGAGCGAGGGGGTTGGGGGGTAGACTTGGAAGCAGGTGGGGCAGAAAGACTGCGGGTGGAGGCGGAGGACGCAGCTCGTGCATAGGCGGCGGAAGATCCCGCGGTGGCGGACGTGGTGGAGGAGGCGACGCTCTTCGGCACCGCAGTTCCCGCAAGCCGTCGCCGGTGGAAGAGTGAGGGAGGGGTTAGCGCCGGTTGGGTCCGGCTTCACCAGCATTTTTCACCGATTTTGAAAGATTGATGATCGGATTAGACGCACATTACGCGGTCTCCACCCTTGAAGCTTACGGGTTAGGGTTTTGCAGAGTTTAAAATCTATATATATAAAAAATGGTTGATGGAAAAATCAGAAATAGAAACTTTAAATAATTGTGTTGAGTTTTTGACTTTCTATTTGTGGATTTTTGTTAAAATCTGTTTTTTTTTTTTATCTTATATCACGTGTTTAATCAGAAATTTTCTACTTTCTGTTAGATTGCTGAATTAGCAAAATTAAGGTGATTTCAATTATAAAATTTTTTTAGATCACGCGTCTATTAAGGATCAATAGCAGATTTTTAGGTGATTTCGTTTATAATTTAAGGTGATACAATATTCAGTTGTTGCATTGCATAAATCAAGGGATAGGATATCTATCCGATTACAATCCATAATTATCTTCAGCCATTTTTGGTTATTAAAAACAATATCTTTTCAATGATTTTAGGTCAATTCAAACGTCCATAAAAAAATGTATAAAAGGATCACTAGCACCATTATTTCTTCACATCATAAACTGATTTAAGAGAAAAAAAATACAGGGATTACAATAACGTCACATCGATAAAAAAAAAAAATGCTGCCACCCTTTGGTACCGTCACTCCGGTAACAGGAGAAACAAACCTTTTTTGCGTTTGAGAAACAAACCTTTTTTGCGTTTGAGAGTAGTCCGAATTATTGAAACGCATCACGAACAGGAGAGTTTGAACGCATTGCATATACTGTTTCATGATGCACAGGTAATATTTAGTTTTGTTAAATTTATTTATATAATTCGAAATAATTTTTTTATTAATATTTATAAATTTATATTGTAGGGTGCATTCATTAAATGCATAATACATTCTCCATATATTAAAGCATTTCGAGGTAAATTCAACGAAGGCAAGGTGTACGCAATACGAAATTACAATGTTAAATTCAACCACATGCAAATATGTAATATTGTAGCGACAATACATCTGTAAGTCCCAATTTCAACCCAATAAAACGTCTCAGTTAAATAAATAAATAATTAGACTATTCATAGGGAAATCCTGAACAAGTTGTCTTTTATATATCTATACATCTATATAGAGATGTGTTGTGATGGAAAGATAAATACATTATATAATAGATTATTATATATCTAATAGATTAAAACATGTGTCATTGTATATATATATTATGACGATTTTAATATAGGCTAACATGCGTGTGAAATATATATATATATATAATACAATATAATACAATTATATATATACCTCAGGTATATTAAACGGATATGGAATTATAAATAAATATATATTTTACATTCTTCGTAAATATGTAGAAGATTTTTAAGGAAACAAATCGATATTGATTTATATGTGAATATCTATTTTATATATTTTATATTTATAAATCAGATATGTAAGGATGCAAATCGTATCTATTCAATCACTATCTTCCCTATTATTTAGACACCTATTGAAATGGGGAACTAAATATCCTTTGATCTATGGTTTATTCTTTATTACTTAGTGACCTATGGAAGTGGGGAACTACATAACCTTTGTATTATGATTTATTTCAACACGTTTTTGTGATAGATTTTTATCATGAGGTATCTTTTGTTTCCTATATTCGATAGGGTCATAGTTATCCTTTTACACATATCAATGTTTATATAAAATAGATAGATGTGAAAGAAAAATCTAATACTTATTACGGTAATGAAATTTTTTTCAGAATTCATTCTCCTCAATACAATTAACCTATTCCACATATGAACTATTATCCATAATCACTATTGTCTTTTGTTTTCTCGCAGTCATTTCATACAAGATTCAATGGTTTCGGATGAATTTAGATATCCAATTGCAACGACAATAGCAGGCAATAAACGTATCAACAAATATCATGATGAAAACAAATCCCCAGGTAATAGTACAATCTTCAATATACACCTTCTTACAATTAGTACATTTACTCTTTAATATATGTATATGCATATTATTTGAATTTTCATTTAACTTGTATGATGATTCATATGAGTTATAACATCGATTTTGTTTTGTTCAGATTCTGACAGAAACAAAAGTGCAGCAGATCAAGTAAACATTTAACGAGTCTAACAAATGGCAAGGTTATATTTTTAATATACATAGATTAGTGGTTTATTTCGTTTAATATTTGTATACATATATGTATACATACCTGATTGCACATTTTTGTGGATGAGTTATTTGATCTGCCTCATTGCCAATATTGTTTACTCGTGCTCCAGATTTCCCAGTAAATGCATTATGTACAACCAAGCATAAATTTTTTTATATTCATTTCATAAATCACAAATTTCAAATATGTAGTCATGGTAACAATAGTACCTTGCTTGTGTTAGTAATGCCACTCCACTCTTTGTGGCTGCTTCGATTCATATATGTCCTGTAATACAACATTTGAAACAGTTTAAAAAACTTTAACATAATTATATCTGAAACATAATATGTTAATTAGAAGTACATAATAAATTGAACACCTTTGGTTGTATAGCTATTGTTGTATATCTGAATTTGAAGTCTTCTGAATGATAGTTGTTAATACAACATTCTCGCAATCATGTCATTTCATCACATGCAAACAAAAGATGATTAGATTACAGTTAATCTGCATTTTTTTTTTCAAAATTGTAACAAGTAAGCAAAAGTTTACCAAATATTATAATTACTGAACAAATAAACGTAAAAAAAAAAAGGGAAAACATTCTATTTTTTTATGTCGATTGCACTCTGTTTACCTTGAATGTTAATTTATTGAATCCAGATAACCCAAAAAAAGTGAATATTGAGCCGAAATCTTTTTTTTTTTTTTTTTTTTTCCCTTGTGAAAACATATTGGTAAAATATACATGATTAAACCCAATAATTGACAACTAAATAAATAAACTTATTTTTTTTGAAACGTTATTTATGCTGTACAAACAAATCTACACAATTGAACCAATATCCAATCTACACAGTTTAAAATCATTTTTTCTGTTAAAATTTTGAACCGAAGGTAAACAATCGAATAAAAAAACAAAAATAATAAATAGATACAATTAACCTCTGTAGAGATCATGGGCATGTCTCATTATGGATCCTTAGTATGATACCCAAAATTGATATACCAACAGGTAGAGATAAACAAAAACCCTATCGATTAACAACAAAATCGCTCGATTTCTCAAAAACATTCAAAGCCCCGAATACAACAAACAAATCCCTAAAATCTTATGAAACAAACCAGATTTACATATATTAGAAACTCCATTAACCTATACATTTTTATCAACATAAATTAAAAAAGTTCGGAAGAGATGAAAAAAAAATTCAGGCGGTGAAGATAAGAACACAGAAAATTTCGGAGAAATAAATGAATCCCTACCACTACCAAGTTAAATATATATGTGTGATGGAGTAATTCTGACCATGCGATCAGATTTTTGTGGCAAAATCTTGGCCGTTGAAAAAAAAAAAGCAATTGGAAGCCCAAATCTGTTAAATATACATAAGAAACATTAGTCTTAGTTATATTAATGGACCCAATGAGCCAATTTATGTTTTAAAATGTTATTTTTTGTGCGCATTTTTGTGAAAATGTGTGGTTTTTAAATTAATTATAATTTATTCAATAGTTTTTGTTAAATACACTATTTTTTCCAAAGTTGATTATAATTCATTTTGATAAATGTTGTTGTTTGGACTTTTGCATATATAAGTATTGTGAATCTCGATTTTTGCACTGGATCAAATGTTAGTGAAAGACAGATTAAATGGCAATCTTATCAGGAAGTTCGTCTAATGCTTCAAATCACATGCCATTCAGTGATATTACAAATGGTATTTTTATTTATATCTTACTTTATATATAGATCATATTATTCTCATATTCTATATTATGATATTTTATGTTGTACTTATATATTCTCTTAATTTGTTTTATTATAAATAAATAGGTCATCTTGAACAAAGTGAAAAAAATTGAAAACTTTCCAGTGTTATCGGATCGAAAAGCAATGTGATAGACATTCTGAGTGTTGACGAGAATGAGAATACAACTCTTACTGCATCAATTTTTTTTTTTCCGTCTACCCCTCGACAAAACATGCACTACACAAAATGCAAGTGTAGTTATCGATCTAACTCAGGATGATCCCGTTCAGCCAACTGTTCAGAAAAAAAAACCGTGGTCGTCCTAGGAAAATTAGTAGGTCTAGTTCAAGAATATCTGGTTTGTTCCATTTAAAGTATCAATATTTTCATATATTTTATGAAATCACATATTATATAATATTTTATTTTAACATTTTTTATTAGAGTTTCGTGACAAGGCAGATGCAATCGTCAGTCGCAACCATGAAAATACAACGCGTACTACACCAATCATGTTTCCATCGTCGAGGTAGCCCACAACAGGTTCCACACAAAATGCAAGTGTTGTTATTGACCCAACTCCCATTAATCCCAGTCAGCCCATTGTTGAAAAAAGAAAGCATGGTCGTCCTAGAAAAATTCGTGTGTCTACTTCAGGAATACCTGGTTTGTTCCATTTAAAGTAATAATAATATTCAAATTTTCTTAGTCATTCAAAAATTAAATCTGAAGTATATTACTTTAAATTCTCTTTTTAGAATACTGGAACATGGGAGATGCAAGTTACTGTTGTAGACATTGCAGAACAAAGTTTTGGTACGAGGAAAGAAAAACTCATGATCAGAATGCAGTTTTTCCAGATTACACTGGTTTGTTTCTTAAGAAGCCTGTGTTTAGCCATGGACAGTTATAAGTTTTTGTATCTCGTGTCACCAACCGAAGTGGTTTGAAAATTTTAGTTTGTGGTGACGATGACTCGCCCCCAAATAAAACTAAAAACGTTGTGTACAAAGAAGTTTTCAATAATTTATAAATTTTGTAGTTCGTACCCAACTTGCTTACTTTTCTTACAAATAACAA